TGATAACGTGCCAAACAAATCACAGTACATGGATCATTACAAAAGCCTCAGTATGGTCTAGGGTGGATGTCTACAATTGCGGCTAGTCATCATTCCCTTGCACCTAGCAAAATGCTTCCATTAGACCAAGCGTCTCAAATAGCCTCTGCTGAGGAAGCCCTACTGACTGCCTTCTCGTGGCAGTGTTTTCCCACTAAAGTGAGAAGATGAAAAGTCGACATCCGAGGCTGCCGCACTTGAAGAGCGCACGCGTCAGAACTAATCTGGTTTTAGACCCAGTCGAGGTTGTATCTAACACATCTTCACTTTTCACCAAATTCTGAAGCACAGACATTCTTTTCGTAGACCCACCATATTTGTCTTCCTCGATCCGAAAGCGGCTTTCGACTCAGTCGACCGCTCTAAACTATGGCGCTGCCTTTCCCTGAGGGCTGGAGCTGAGAAGTTTATTTTAATAGTACGATCCCTTCATACTAATGGTCGAATTCGAATCCGAGCTTACGGCGCTTTTTCACCAGAGTTCACCACGGAAAGTGGTGTTCGTCTGGATTGCCATTTCTTTTTATTCAACTTTGCCATAGATATAATTCATGAAACAGCTCTATCCTCGTGCGACTATAGCGGCTCCCAAGTGACAAACTGTTTGATCCGGAGTATGCAGACGACATTATGCTGTTAAGTGAATATCCAGTCGGTTGTGAGCTTTTCTGGATAGCTTGAGTGCTAGTGTATCCATGTCCGACATACGTTTTGTGCCTTCATAGTGTAAAACGTTGCTACAAGATTGGGTTGATTCAGTCCCCAACCTCATCCTGACTAGGGAAGTAGAGGAAATAGACAAATTTTGCTATCTGGACAGTCATATCTCACCTGGCGGATACATCGTGGGTGAAGTGTCAACACGGGGAGAGAAGGCTTGATTGGCATTTGTCATCTTGAGACATCTGTGTAGTGCTCAACCAAATCCCATTCTACATGTATCTATCCTCCTGTGCACCTCAGTGTTTTATCACATCAAGGCCACCTCTTTGGTCAGCACGTGTTTGCTTTCACTTTCCGCACGCTTCCGTATCTCTCTTGCTCTGCAAGTCGTAACAATACAACCCGTCCTCCGTTTCGTGAATCGTCTCGTTTTGTTACCGTACGACCGTCCGTTTGCGACATATGCGTTTTAGCTCGGGGTATCGATAAACCAGTGCCTACATCTGTAGCGCCGCCGCGACATCCGGCTGTCCTTGAAGGGCCGAGCGTATGCTGCAGTCGTTTGGCCAGTGCTGCTATACGGTGCAGATACTTGACCATTATGAAAACAGGATAAAATAGATTGTCGGCGATCGAACACTGCTGTCTACGTGGCATTGAACGAGTCTGATAAGGAAACCGGGATCACTCAAAGCGGCTGTCAGTTTTTCGTTTGCAACGTAATTACACACGAACGGTGAAATAGAGCATCCTTGACGAACATCGCCGCTGATGACGAAAGACCTACTTAGTTCGTTATAAACCCTCAATCGACTAGGGGTTTGTGAGTACAGTGACCTTAGTAAGTTAACTTACTCCCGGGGCATTCCTTTTTGGAAAAATCCATTAGAGTTTCGCGGTCAACTGAGTTGAAGGCTCCTTTCAGGTCAGGGGATACTGCGATCCTTGATGAACGATGGGTGTGGCACAGGTCAAGGACCTGATGCAACGTAAAAATTTGATCAATACATCCACGTCCAGGCCGGAATCCGGCTTGCTGCTCACGGGCGTTGGTTTCTCTTAAAGAAGTCAGACGTCGAAGTATGACGAAGTCCAGTACTTTGGTGACGATGGAGATCGAACTTATCCCGCCTTGGATTTTGCGATCATTGCGAGATCCCCTTCTTGAAGATCAAAACGATTTGTGATTCGCCCCAATGTGAGGGAATGCGCTCTTGCGTCCACTGTTGTGCAGAAAGATAGTAATAGAGCATACGAGGTTACTACCCCCCCCCCACCTTGAAAAGAGTGGGAGGAAGCCCATTCGGTCCTGCTGCCGTTCCTGGCTTCAGCGCTTGAATGTAGGACCGAAATTTTGATTCTACCAGAGAATCCCACAACACTGCCCAAGGAGCTTTAGTTGCAGATGACGTAGCATTGCACGAGTCTGGTGGG